AAGAAGATACTTTAAAATCATTATGCAAAAACGTTCCTTACTTTAGACTACTACTGAGTCATTATTGAGAAATGTCTCATTATTTTGAGAAGCTAAACAATTATTTTTAAGTAATATATTAACTCATCAATTTAAGATACTAAGTCATTATTTCTTATATATTAAGTCACTATTTTAAGATACTGTGTCATTAGGTTTGAGTTATTTCATCATTACCAAGATACCATGTCATTATTTTGAGATAATAACTCATTGTTTAAAGTTTTCTAATTGAAATGACCGGAATATTCTGGCAAAAAAAATCGAAATGTTTTCATTTGACTTTGAACAGTTCCTCAGTCAGGAAAGCAATGTGTTGTCCTTAAATCTAGTATCACGTGAGTGTGGCAGCAGATCTCACCGACTCGATGGCCGCCCTGACGACTGACGGTTGCTAGGCACTGGATGTACGTCCTCGCCATGGAAACGGGCGGGGCCTTGGCGAGCTCATTGGTCAGGTGTTCAGTCAGCTGGGAGAAGAGGGCGGGGCTACAGCAGGGAACCAGGTGACCCAGAGCCAAGATGGAGCGCTTCCTCACAGCCATCCTGGAGCTGGTCAGCTGACGGAGGGATATTAGGTTTATCTGAAGGGTGTCTGTTTTAACTACCATCATGCAACGTGGGTTCATTAAAACATCACTATTTTGAGATGCTAAACTTTGTTTTCAGATACTAAACTTTGTTTTTGTACATTCCCAAAGATATTGAAGTGACTGTTATTTCGTATATATTGATTGTTGTGCTTTTATCTTAATGTGTGCATATGTATAAATGTGTATGTTGATTGTGTATATATAGGATATACATATTTTATACATATTTGTATATATCTTTGTTTTAGTATTCTGGATGGTGGGAAACGGTATTTTGATCTCTCTGTCTGTACACACAAACTGAAAGATTGACAATTAAGTTGACTTTTGAAGTTCCTTATCCTAATGACTTTATTGCATGGCTAGGTTTTCATTTCATTATAATATAACTTAATGAACTATGATTGATACAAATAAATATAATAAAATAACATATCATATTATCAAAAAAACTATTATTGCTACTAATATTCTGATTGTATCATCATATATCATTTTATATAATATTCCCTCTTGTCTGTTGTTATATATTTGTTACCTGAGGGAGCAGACTGGAGAGCAGAGCGCTGTGGAAACTGACCAGAGCACCACTCAGCCTGTGAAAGGTAAATAAAAGCATAAGAAAAACAACAACAATCAATAATGAATTAGTCAATTAACAAAAAAATAATGCTGGTGTTCAGTAGATATAATGTGAACCTTGGACACCATCATATATTGAGCATTTTAAATGAGCTAATTATAAGAGACAGATGAGATATTTCGATCTTAACCAAAGCTGCTTGACATGTTTTATAATGTTTTGTGGTTACTGTCGTGTCAAACTATCATATAATCATTTAAAACATATAGACTTATACTCTGGTTGCCTTTTACACTGTTACATTGTATGTTTAGTCTTGTATGTGTTTAACAGAGACATATGTTAAGGATTTACATTTCTGGAGGGCAAAGGGAAGTGTAAAAGGGGGATTTGTAAATGGTTAAAGACTGGGGGGTTGTATGGTTTAATGATGGGGATGTTTAGATGATGCCTGAGAGAATTTAAGGGTGGGACCAGTTGGACTTTCTCTCTACTATATAATGTGACTGCAAGCTGTGTTCTGAACGTCTCTATCCTCTGAAGATGACCTAGCTCTGTTCCAACATTTATTTCACTTGCATTTTGACTTTCTTTATTACTTTATTAAATATAACAAAAGACAAACTTTCTCCATGAATGATTTTCTCTTAAGAACTTCCTCCACAGTTACCTTCCCAGCATGTCTGACAGGATGTCCAGAGCCTCTAACTGAACGGAGACGTCTTCCTGTTTCCCCATCGCTCCGATCAGCTGGGAGGTGATCTTCTTACACACACCCACTGTCAGCGTCAAACCTGGGAACACACACACACACACACACACACACACACACACACACACACACACACACACACACACACACACACACACACACACACACACAGCAAACAACTTAAGCTTAAAACAGCAACAGATCTGGCAACGAAAACATTTAAATAATAATTATATTGCATTTGTAATATGCATTTATATTGTATACAATAACCAAACAACAAGTCTATTTTGTCGTTTTTTAATCCCCTTCAATAAATACAGCAATCAAACTTTATTTTAAAGTGCTTTATTATTGATCAACATGAATTAGGATGTAAAAGTAATACAATGTTGAGAATAAAATAGAATGAAAGTGTAGCGTTAAAAAAATAAAGCATATAATAAAGATTATGATCAAATAAATGGCAAATTAAGATCATTAGAAACCACCAGACTCAGTTTCATCCCACAGGCCATAAGACTGTAACAGGACATAACTACACTGGAGCTATGCACGCATGACAATAAAAGCCTTGAAACTTGAGAAGACGCTTGTCTCATTATCTAAAATAAGAATATATATTTCTGTGAGTATTTAACCTCTGACCTGTGGAAGTCAGCGGCAGCTCAGCGATCACCGTCTTCAGCCCCATGCTGGAAATGTCTCTGAGCGGCTCTTTGTCCGACGTCATGTTGGAACACAGCGTGTCCACCATCACCTCCACCTGAGGCTCCTTCACTTTGCTCACCAGAGGGGCCAGGCTGAAACACACACACATATAATCATTATCTGTATCTATTGATCCTCATCATTCTGAGGCTCCTTCACTTTGCTCACCAGAGGGGCCAGGCTGAAACACACACACATATAATCATTATATCTATTGATCCTCATCATTCTGAGGCTCCTTCACTTTGCTCACCAGAGGGGCCAGGCTGAAACACACACACATAACACTGTAAATATCTATTGATGTTTTAAGAATTTTAAACGTTTTTCTTTATATATGCTTTATAACACATTTGAATATTTTCAGAATATTTACTTTTTTCAGAATCTTTACAGAATTCCAATTTTTCCAAGATTTCTAACTCGACTTTTTCTCAGATTAGTTTTGAATTTTTCACTTTTTTTCACTTTTTCTCGGAATTTCCATTTTTTTCCCGAATGTTTACTTTACTCCGATTTTACATTTTTTTATTTTATTTATTTCAGATTTTTTTCTTCAGATTTTTCTCTGATTTTCTACTTTTTTAGATTTCCAACTTTTTCTTAGATTTTTTACTTTTTCTTCAAACATTTTTTTTCCAGAATTTTGGCTTTTTCTCAGAGTTTCCATTCCTTCAGAATTGTGAATTTATTTAGAATTTTGACTATTTTCAGAATTTCTACTTTCTCTCAGAATTTTCCTATTTTCAGATTTCCAACTTTTTCTATGATTTTCTTTTTTTTTCAGAACTGTGAACTCAGAATACTCAGAATACAAAAAAAGAGATAATTTAGGATTTTTGGGGGATTTAAAAAAAAAAGATTATTCTCGGAATTTCCATTTATTCTGAATTTTGACTTTACTCAGAATATTTTCTAAGATTTTCAAAATGTTCTCAGAATTATGATTAGTTTGAAACCAGAAGTTAGCGAGTATAAACCGGTCTACATGGTGGGAACAGTGTTTACGTCCTCTGTGTTACCATTTCACTGCCAGGTTCTGCACCTCCCCGTTCTTGTCCTCCAGCAGTTTGAGCAGCATCGTCACCACTTTCCTCTCACTGTCCTCATCCAGCTTTATGCTGTCCTTCTGCAGCTCTAGCATCAGGTCATTGGTAGCCATGAACCTGGACACACACACACACACACACACACACACACACACACACACACACACACACACACACACACACACACACACACACACACACACACACACACACACACACACACACACACACACACACACACACACAGAGAATGAAGATGCATACACAAAATGACCTGTCTTAATGATTATGAATTACCTAAAATGTCAGATTTTATGTTGCTATGAGTCCATATTCATCAACACATAGGCAGCAAAGAAAGACTTACTCATCAATATTTAATGAAAGAATGTGTTGTCATGTTGTTGTTGTTGTTGTTGTTGTTGTTGTTGTTGACGCTTATCATTCTGAAATGTTTCTAAAGAGTAGTTCTAGTTTTTGGTACTTTTGGTACGTTTTCGGGGGAGAGGCAAAGTATAAGTTCATATTGAAAATGACTATTGACTTTTTGACTGATTTTGAAAGCAGGACTTTTACTAATAATGGACTATTTCTACCAATTTACATCTCAACACACATTGACACACTTCTAATAATATTAGTTTACTTTCTTTGTGATTACAGGTGTCTATCTTGTGAAAAATAAAACACTTTAATTCAATACAAAATTATAAAAGTACAATGAGAACTTATTTGTGATTGAGCTAACTCATCTCAACACACATTTCACATATTGGTGTTTTTTTATTATTAGTTATTACCTACACATTCAGTATGATTACACAAATGAGGAGTTTTTAGGACTTCAAGCTAACTTGTCTAACACATTAAGCTACTTTTTAAATAAGTTATAAGTTAGTAAACTACCAGTGTTATTTACTTTTGTCTCTCTTAAAAAAGCCATATTACATGTAAAAAATGAGATAAAATGACAGACTCATAATGAGCCAGGACTGAAAAGTGTCATCTCACTGTCACACACACATTTTAACTCTGTCTTACCTAAAGTCTTTGTCAGTGGATGTCATTTTCTCCAGCAGGTTGGAGATATAGTAGGAAACGCTGGACATCCTGGAACTTTGACACCTGTCAGCGGCTCTAAGAGAACTTACTGTCCGTGGAAAGTGAGCAAACTGGGGCAACAGATTTGAGATTTAACCCGACAACATGGCGAGGAGTGGAGGGGACAGAGAAAAGTAACACCGGGGGGAACCTGACACTTTAGGATAAAAATAGATCTAAGAAGAAAAGTGTTTGAGGTTTATGGAGCCATCTGGTGGATAAACAGAGTCCTGACAATTAGCTGTAGTTAAAAGTCTAGAATTACGCATCGAAAACGCATTTGATACGACAGTTTATAATAGCGTAAATATTCAGACATTCTGGATTACCTTTCTTCCTCTTTGCTTAGTATATTTTTTGTTATTTTGTAAAACGCAATGGTAAGTTGGTATTTATTTAACATTTAATGCTTTATTTCAATTTTTATTTTGTATACTTTGTCTTTTTTTTTACTATTTGTTTCTTATTCTTTATTTAAAAAAACCGATATATGTATATTGAATAGTAAGTACACACAAAACATTGACATCAGTGTTAAAAAAAAGTATATATTTCCATAGTAAACACATTTAAATATAGAAAAATATTTTAGGAAACACCCAAAATCAGACCAAAAGATTTTAGAGTACAAACAGTGAAAGAATAAATGACACTAATGTTCATTTGTATTCATATTATATTATCGTAAACCTCTGTTATGCTGTTAGGCGGAACCTTTCTTCGGTGGTGTGTGTGTTTCCGCCGGTAGAAGAAGTGTGTGACCCTGCTCTGTGGGAAGCGGCTTCTTGTTGCCACGTCGGAAGAACCGGGTTTATTCATTTAGAATAAAATACTACCATATTCTGGATAGTTTCCTGCTTTAGCTGCAGTCATGGTGAGCAAAGTAACTTCGTACTGAAGCTGTTTGTTTACATCTGGTGGTTTTAACGGTGACCGTTGGTTGATGACGTGTTAGCTTGTTAGCTTGTTAGGCTAATGACAGCTAATCCTTAAACTAAAGTGTGTATCGTTATATCTCTGAGATGTAATGCTTTAATGTGTATTTCAGGTTTCCGTTATCAACACGGTGGACACCTCTCATGAGGATATGATCGTAAGTTTTCATTATGTTGTATTTAACCCCAAGCCTCTGATCAGTGGAGCTAATGTTAGCATCTACTATCTTATCAATTACTTTAAATAGCAATAAATACACATGTGCTTCTTTTCATGTCACATGTGTTAGAAGAAGTACTACAGCTATCATCACAAGTTAATATTAACGCACAGAGGTGGAGGAAGTATCCTTTACTTAAGTACTAGCTACTAAAGTAAGTACTTAAGTATTAAGTGTAGCACGGTGGTTTGCAGGCACATACTTTCATAAAGGCTCATTGTATGTGTGTGAAGAAAACCTAAGTGTCTAATATAATGTGCCTAATATACCGTTTTAGCACTGAAAGGTACTAATTGGTCCATTTGACTCCCTCCAGAAAACCCTGGCTCAAACACTGTTTTCATGTATAACAAATACAACTCAAACATTTTTGGACTTTAATATGACTCTTAAACAAGTAGAAACACAACGAGATGTTTGTGAGATCTTAAACAAGTACACATGTGCTACCACACTGTAAAAATACTTATTATACTCCTTTACTCCAAGTAAAACATTGCATTGAAAAAGTTACTTAAGTCAAAGTATTTAGGTATCCTACTTAAAGTTGTAGTACATAAATATCCCCTGTGACTGTACTCTTTATTTCATTAGATAATTATACTCATGCTTTATTGTGAAAGTAGGGTATATGTGTTGCAGTTGCTGGAGGAGGAGCTCACGTTTAACTACCTACGATTATTCATTTCATTAAATGTCGGTCTGTATTTTATGTTCTCTATTAATGATTGATTATTTGGTTTGAACATAGTGAATCCAGTGAGAAACACTCTCAGTTTCCCAGAGCCTAAAGTGAAAATGTTTGTTTTTGTCTGTCCAACTAACAGTCCAAAAACCACCGTTATTACTGATCACAATCAATAACATTATTAAAAAGGAAAGAGATAAATAATCACATTATGAAGCTAGAAACGTGACCTGGCTCATGAAAAAATGACTTAAAAGACCAACATCATTTTTTGACAAACGGCTAAAAGAAAATCCTCCAAGTAACACATAAGAATGTTAAGAGGGTATATAGTGCAGACATTACAATTAAGCATATAATAAACATATTGTTGTGCTCTACAGTAATTGCACGTTAACTTTTATCTCTGAATGTTAATGTAGTAATGAACAGAGATGTAGAACAGTAAGTAGACCTATATAACGGTAAAGAACCAATTACACTTCATATTTTCTATCTCAGAGAAAAGGTAGATTATCTCTTTCCAGGTGTTGATGTCTTTTTTCTCTCTGCTTTCAGCACGATGCCCAGATGGATTACTACGGGACTCGCCTCGCCACCTGCTCCTCGGACCGCACCGTGAAGATGTTCGACGTCAGAAACGGAGGACAGATCCTGGTGGCTGACCTCAGAGGGTGAGACACCACGTCACCACCACCTCCCTTCACATAGACACAAACTGCATAACATTACACTGCACAATAACTGCAGCACTCGATATCAAGTAGTACAGTATTATTCTCTCGAAACAAAAACACTCTGGATGGAGATTGAAAACCAAAAGGAACGAGAGCCATGTATTTGTTTTAGTGTGCGTTCACTGTCCTATGCAAAACAAACATTTAAATACTGTATATATTAAATAAAAAGGACATGAATATATCTTAATCTAAAAACAGGATCTACGGTCAGTCTCGGAAGATTAATGTCTACTTTTATCTTAGTGATATGCAGTTTTTTATATACATTTGTTGACCGTCTATGGTTCTTGTAGTTATTGAATTAGCTCGGGAGTTTTTCTCCTGTAATAATCACCAATTGTGTTACATGATTCATTTTGGAAACTACTTTTTTACCCAGGCGTTAACACTGATATCACAGTTCAGCTCCCCCTGTCATTCTTGGTGTCTGGGAATAATTCTGTATACATGTTTACCTTTCGCCCTCTGACGCAGACGCCCAACTGCAGCCGCTATCTCCCTTAAGGAGGGGCTGCCCTAGCATTTTGTTGTTGTTACCAGTTTGTGAGCGGGCAACTCTCTGTCAGAGATAGTTATTGTTGTGGGACACCTCCTTCTCGGGGTGCAGATGACCCCGAGCCATAAGCGACAACAAATGTGATTCAGTGTCCTCAGCTGTTTAGTCTATCTATTGAAGAATGTTGATTATTACACTCTGAGTTAAACCCTGGAGCTACAAGAGGGTCTTCAGAATTGATTGTGGCATCTCAACGTGTGGTCAGACACGTGACATGTCGTGTGAATTCTCCGGCCGAAACTCCAAATAAACCGTCAGTGTTTGCCATCAAAGCTCCAGCTCTCCTCGTGTCTCTTTGAGTCCTGACTCTCCATGGCTACAGAAGTTTCCCCCACACTTGGCGTTCTTGTATTGCATATTTTGAGTATTTTCACCAAATGTGTCGTCTCTGTGTCTGCAGCCACGAGGGTCCGGTTTGGCAGGTGGCCTGGGCTCACCCCATGTTCGGAAACATCCTGGCTTCCTGTTCCTACGACCGAAAAGTCATCATCTGGAAGGAGGAGAACGGCAGCTGGGACAAGATGCACGAGTACTGCGGACACGAGTCATCAGGTCAGTAGCTCTGTTGGGATTGTATTGTGTTGTTTACTTTTATTTCTTTATTTGAGACTTCTCCCGGGTGTAAATAGCATTGTTAGCTACACACACCGGGTGTAAATAGCATTGTTAGGTACACACACCGGGTGTAAATAGCATTGTTAGGTACCACACGGTATAGTCATTGTTACTACACACACCGGGTGTAAATAGCATTGTTAGCTACACACAACCGGGTGTAAATAGCATTGTTAGCTACACACACCGGGTGTAAATAGCATTGTACCCGTGTAGCATTACACACACCGGGTGTAAATAGCATTGTTAGGTACACACACCGGGTGTAAATAGCATTGTTAGCTACACACACCGGGTGTAAATAGCATTGTTAGGTACACACACCGGGTGTAAATAGCATTGTTAGCTACACACACCGGGTGTAAATAGCATTGTTAGCTACACACACCGGGTGTAAATAGCATTGTTAGCTACGGACAGGGTTGGGTTGTAACGGAATACATGTAACGGCGTAATCAGAATACAAAAATTAAGTAACTGTATTCAGCTCGCGTTACATTTGAAAAACGAGTAACCTGATTACAGTTACTTTCGTAAACCTGAAGTGAATACATTTTGGAATACTTATTGGAATTATTGGTGGAAAGATTTCCTCACAACATTTAATATTCATTATTAAGGTACAGCCGAATCATCACAGCGCACAAAACCTATTACCGCCGCAGATGGACCAAAAAGGGGAGCGTTTGAAAAAAAAGGGGCGGGGCCGCTCAGTGAAACGATAACGAAACATGGAGGAACAAAAGTCTGCGTTTAAATCGCGCGTGTGTGTCTGTGTGTGGTTAAAACACATCAGCCACACCGCTCTTTAGCCTTTCTAATGATTCTGAAGGTAAACACAGTGAAGGCGGTGCGTGAAAGGCGGTGCGCGGCGCGCTCGTCTTCTCAGAGGCTGAGTTAACCCTCCCGCTGCCCCTGGTGCTGCAGAGATTTCATGAAGGGAAGGAGGTGTTCCTTCTATAAAACAGCTGTGGGCAGCAGATACTGTGAGAGTCACAGACATGAATTCATAGATCAAGGCAGACTGGTGCACACACTCTCCTGTTTTGCAAATCCGGTGCTTAAACAAAAATACACCCCTGGCCGACATGTCCTTAAAATGAAGTCCGAGTTCGATATTTTAATTCATGTCCTGCCAGCACTGGCAGGACAGAAGGCGACACGCTCGTTCTAAGCCGTGTCCCTCACTCCTCCTCACATCCCAAGCTGCATCCCCACCAAGTGTATTATGTTGTTACATCGTTTCAGATGTGATGTTTCAGTTGTGCTCTTGGTAAGCCATTAAAACAGTAAAAACACGTTCAGTTTCCTTTTGCTCTTTGTGTCTCCTGTTCACCAACACATACATCTGTGATGGAAAAATAAAGTAATCTAAAAGTAATCCGATTACGTTACTTTTTTAAGACACGTAACTGTAACTGTATTCGGATTACTTTCAGAGCCATGTATTCAGTAATCAGTAACTGATTACATTTACAAAGTAACCCTCCCAACCCTGGCTACGGACACCCGGGTGTAAATAGCATTGTTAGCTACGGACACCCGGGTGTAAATAGCATTGTTAGCTACGGACACCCGGGTGTAAATAGCATTGTTAGCTACGGACACCCGGGTGTAAATAGCATTGTTAGCTACGGACACCCGGGTGTAAATAGCATTGTTGGCTACGGACACCCGGGTGTAAATAGCATTGTTAGCTACGGACACCCGGGTGTAAATAGCATTGTTAGCTACGGGCACCCGGGTGTAAATAGCATTGTTAGCTACGGACACCCGGGTGTAAATAGCATTGTTAGCTACGGACACCCGGGTGTAAATAGCATTGTTGGCTACGGACACCCGGGTGTAAATAGCATTGTTAGCTACGGACACCCGGGTGTAAATAGCATTGTTAGCTACGGGCACCCGGGTGTAAATAGCATTGTTTTTGCTACGGGCACCCGGGTGTAAATAGCATTGTTAGCTACGGGCACCCGGGTGTAAATAGCATTGTTAGCTACGGGCACCCGGGTGTAAATAGCATTGTTAGCTACGGACACCCGGGTGTAAATAGCATTGTTAGCTACGGACACCCGGGTGTAAATAGCATTGTTAGCTACGGGCACCCGGGTGTAAATAGCATTGTTAGCTACGGACACTCGGGTGTAAATAGCATTGTTAGCTTCGGACACCCGGGTGTAAATAGCATTGTTAGCTACGGACACCCGGGTGTAAATAGCATTGTTAGCTACGGACACCCGGGTGTAAATAGCATTGTTAGCTACGGACACCCGGGTGTAAATAGCATTGTTAGCTACGGGCACCCGGGTGTAAATAGCATTGTTAGCTACGGGCACCCGGGTGTAAATAGCATTGTTAGCTACGGACACCCGGGTGTAAATAGCATCGTTAGTTACGGACACCCGGGTGTAAATAGCATTGTTAGCTACGGACACCCGGGTGTAAATAGCATTGTTAGCTACGGGCACCCGGGTGTAAATAGCATCGTTAGCTACGGACACCCGGGTGTAAATAGCATTGTTAGCTTCGGACACCCGGGTGTAAATAGCATTGTTAGCTACGGACACCCGGGTGTAAATAGCATTGTTAGCTACGGACACCCGGGTGTAAATAGCATTGTTAGCTACGGGCACCCGGGTGTAAATAACATTGTTAGCTACGGGCACCCGGGTGTAAATGGCATCGTTAGATACAGACACCCGGGTGTAAATAGCATTGTTAGCTACGGGCACCCCAGTGTAAATAGCATTGTCAGCTACGGACACCCGGGTGTAAATAGCATTGTTAGCTACGGACACTCGGGTGTAAATAGCATCGTTAGCTACGGACACCGGGGTGTAAATAGCATTGTTAGCTACGATGGCTTGAGGCTTTGTCATGTTTTTATATATGTTCTTCTGTGTCTCTGCAGTGAACTCTGTGTGTTGGGGTCCCTATGACTTCGGTCTGATTCTGGCCTGCGGCAGCTCGGACGGAGCCATTTCTATCCTCACTTTCACCGGAGATCAGCAGTGGGACGTCAAGAAGATCAGCAACGCACACACTGTGAGTTTGAGACACTTCTGAATACTCGATTCCTGCGGTTCCCAACCCTTAACCGCCAAAATAATCTGCAAAACATTAGGGTTTGTGTGGAAACATTTCATTAATATTTAACCTATTTTCCTTTCTCTTTCTTGATCCTCCTTAGCAACGGTAATTTCATCCTGCAATATACTCATTTATATAAATAGTTATCAACTCAATGAACCATATTTAATTTTCATTATTTAATTTCATATTCTGTTCTTGTACATATCATATTCTATTGACATGTATATAGACTTTTTGCACTATTTTGTATTTTTGTATTTTATTATATATGTTGCATTGTTGGAGCTCAGGTCAGAAGAATCTCATTGCCATTTCTACACTGTAGCTTTGTGCATATGACAATAAAACCTTTGAATCTTGAATCTACAGCAGTCTGTACTACTGGATTAACAACGTGTCACATGTTCTGAATTGACCAATCAGAACTTTATTTAGCCTCCATATTGTTTATGGTACGGAACAGGTGGGTCTTGAGGTTTTTCTTAAAAACTCCACTTTGGCATCACGCTTCTTTCTCAGTCCGGTTGTTTCTTAGAGGCTGATTTTCTCAGTTGTTTCTGTCTATTAACGGAGTGTTATCGTTCTGCTTCAGATCGGCTGTAACGCGGTGAGCTGGGCTCCGGCTGTGGTTCCCGGCAGTTTGATCGATCAGCCGTCGGGACAGAAACCAAACTACGTCAAACGCTTCGTCTCCGGAGGCTGCGACAACCTCGTCAAGCTCTGGAAGTAAGTTCAAAGTCAACTTTATTGACAATCTTTCAGTTTGTGTGTACAGCCAGAGAGATCGAAATACCGTTTGCCACAATCCCGAATACAAAAATACAAATGTATATAAAAATATGTGTTACAATTGTTGTTTTACAGACTTTGTGCCATTTAATGCTTTATATGTAGTGCTTATTTAGTGTAATTTGCATTTACAGAGAAGCAGTTGTTGGCTAATGAAAATACAAATATTTAAACTCAGACTCCCTCCAATAATTCTCATTTAATATGTAGATAAGATAAGACTTTATTTATCCAGAAGGAAACGTTGTCCCCTCTTCTTCATGTCTCTTCTACATCAACAGGTGTCCCCTCTTCTCCATGTCTCTTCTACATCAACATGTGTCCCCTCTTCTTCACGTCTCTTCTACATCAACATGTGTCCTCTCTTCTTCACGTCTCTTCTACATCAACATGTGTCCCCTCTTCCTCATGTCTCTTCTACATCAACATGTGTCCCCTCTTCTTCATGTCTCTTCTACATCAACATGTGTCCCCTCTTCTTCACGTCTCTTCTACATCAACATGTGTCCCCTCTTCCTCATGTCTCTTCTACATCAACATGTGTCCCCTCTTCTTCATGTCTCTTCTACATCAACATGTGTCCCCTCTTCTCCATGTCTCTTCTACATCAACATGTGTCCCCTCTTCTTCATGTCTCTTCTACATCAACATGTGTCCCCTCTTCTTCACGTCTCTTCTACATCAACATGTGTCCCCTCTTCCTCATGTCTCTTCTACATCAACATGTGTCCCCTCTTCTTCATGTCTCTTCTACATCAACATGTGTCCCCTCTTCTCCATGTCTCTTCTACATCAACATGTGTCCCCTCTTCTTCATGTCTCTTCTACATCAACATGTGTCCCCTCTTCTTCATGTCTCTTCTACATCAACATGTGTCCCCTCTTCTTCATGTCTCTTCTACATCAACATGTGTCCCCTCTTCTTCATGTCTCTTCTACATCAACATGTGTCCCCTCTTCTCCATGTCTCTTCTACATCAACATGTGTCCCCTCTTCTCCATGTCTCTTCTACATCAACATGTGTCCCCTCTTCTTCATGTCTCTTCTACATCAACATGTGTCCCCTCTTCTCCATGTCTCTTCTACATCAACATGTGTCCCCTCTTCTCCACGTCTCTTCTACATCAACATGTGTCCCCTCTTCTTCATGTCTCTTCTACATCAACATGTGTCCCCTCTTCTCCACGTCTCTTCTACATCAACATGTGTCCCCTCTTCTTCACGTCTCTTCTACATCAACATGTGTCCCCTCTTCTCCATGTCTCTTCTACATCAACATGTGTCCCCTCTTCTTCATGTCTCTTCTACATCAACATGTGTCCCCTCTTCTTCATGTCTCTTCTACATCAACATGTGTCCCCCTCTTCTTCATATCTCTTCTACATCAACATGTGTCCCCTCTTCTCCATGTCTCTTCTTCATCAACATGTGTCCCCTCTTCTTCATGTCTCTTCTACATCAACATGTGTCCCCTCTTCTTCATGTCTCTTCTACATCAACATGTGTCCCCTCTTCTTCATGTCTCTTCTACATCAACATGTGTCCCCTCTTCTTCATGTCTCTTCTACATCAACATGTGTCCCCTCTTCTTCATGTCTCTTCTACATCAACATGTGTCCCCTCTTCTTCATGTCTCTTCTTCATCAACATGTGTCCCCTCTTCTTCATGTCTCTTCTTTATCAACATGTGTCCCCTCTTCTTCATGTCTCTTCTACATCAACATGTGTCCCCTCTTCTTCATGTCTCTTCTACATCAACATGTGTCCCCTCTTCTTCATGTCCTCTTCTACATCAACATGTGTCCCCTCTTCTTCATGTCTCTTCTACATCAACATGTGTCCCCTCTTCTTCATGTCTCTTCTACATCAACATGTGTCCCGTCTTCTTCATGTCTCTTCTACATCAACATGTGTCCCCTCTTCTTCATGTCTCTTCTACATCAACATGTGTCCCCTCTTCTTCATGTCTCTTCTACATCAACATGTGTCCCCTCTTCTTCATGTCTCTTCTTCATCAACATGTGTCCCCTCTTCTTCACGTCTCTTCTACATCAACATGTGTCCCCTCTTCTCATGTCTCTTCTACATCAACATGTGTCCCCTCTTCTTCATGTCTCTTCTTCATCAACATGTGTCCCCTCTTCTTCATGTCTCTTCTACATCAACATGTGTCCCCTCTTCTTCATGTCTCTTCTACATCCACATGTGTCCCCTCTTCTTCATGTCTCTTCTACATCCACATGTGTCCCCCTCTTCTTCATGTCTCTTCTACATCAACATGTGTCCTCTCTTCTTCATGTCTCTTCTACATCAACATGTGTCCCCTCTTCTTCATGTCTCTTCTACATCAACATGTGTCCCCTCTTCTTCATGTCTCTTCTTCATCAACATGTGTCCCCTCTTCTTCATGTCTCTTCTACATCAACATGTGTCCCCTCTTCTTCATGTCTCTTCTACATCAACATGTGTCCCCTCTTCTTCATGTCTCTTCTACATCAACATGTGTCCCCTCTTCTTCATGTCTCTTCTACATCAACATGTGTCCCCTCTTCTTCATGTCTCTTCTTCATCAACATGTGTCCCCTCTTCTTCATGTCTCTTCTACATCAACATGTGTCCCCTCTTCTTCATGTCTCTTCTACATCAACATGTGTCCCCTCTTCTTCATGTCTCTTCTACATCAACATGTGTCCCCTCTTCTTCATGTCTCTTCTACATCAACATGTGTCCCCTCTTCTTCATGTCTCTTCTACATCAACATGTGTCCCCTCTTCTTCATGTCTCTTCTACATCAACATGTGTCCCCTCTTCTTCATGTCTCCTCTACATCAACATGTGTCCCCTCTTCTTCATGTCTCTTCTACATCAACATGTGTCCCCTCTTCTTCATGTCTCTTCTACATCAACATGTGTCCCCTCTTCTTCATGTCTCTTCTTCATCAACATGTGTCCCCTCTTCTCCATGTCTCTTCTACATCAACATGTGTCCCCTCTTCTTCATGTCTCCTCTACATCAACATGTGTCCCCTCTTCTTCATGTCTCTTCTACATCAACATGTGTCCCCTCTTCTTCATGTCTCTTCTACATCAACATGTGTCCCCTCTTCTTCATGTCTCTTCTTCATCAACATGTGTCCCCTCTTCTTCATGTCTCTTCTTCATCAACATGTGTCCCCTCTTCTTCATGTCTCTTCTACATCAACATGTGTCCCCTCTTCTTCATGTCTCTTCTACATCAACATGTGTCCCCTCTTCTTCATGTCTCTTCTACATCAACATGTGTCCCCTCTTCTTCATGTCTCTTCTACATCAACATGTGTCCCCTCTTCTTCATGTCTCTTCTACATCAACATGTGTCCCCTCTTCTTCATGTCTCTTCTACATCAACATGTGTCCCCTCTTCTTCATGTCTCTTCTACATCAACATGTGTCCCCTCTTCTTCATGTCTCTTCTTCATCAACATGTGTCCCCTCTGTGGAAAGAGACTCTGAAAGTTTCAGGAACAAAGATTCTCTCTCTTTTTGATCCATTTCTATAAAAACCTGTCTGAAAATGAGCTGATCAGATTTTAGCCACTTGATGATGTCATAACGATGTTTTGGCTTGTGTAACCATTAGCCAATCAGCAACAAGGTAACTGATGGTTTCCTGTGTCTGCAGAGAGGAGGACGGTCAGTGGAAGGAGGACCAGAAGCTGGAGGCTCACAGTGATTGGGTGAGAGACGTCGGCTGGGCCCCGTCCATCGGGCTGCCCACCAGCACCATCGCCAGCTGCTCCCAGGTCAGTTACTACAGATAAGATAAGATATACTTTATAATCCCAAATTGGGAAATGTTTTCGTTGCAGCATTATGTTAAGCTATTGCACATAATTAGAGATAAATTATACGACAAACATCTTAAAATAGCAGATAAAACAGAACTAAAAGAGTGTCTGTTTGTATGTGTGATTGCAGCATCGGGAATGCTTGTGTTTTCGCTGTAGAGACAACAAAGGAATCTAATCTAAGGTATAAAAGTTGATCGTGAGAAATAATCTGTAAACTATCTGACAAATAAAACACAATTGAGAGCATGACAGCTTGCACAATATAAGAGTGGGATGTTATTTACATTTAGTATTTACAATGACATATTAAATATAAATGTAGTGTGTGAAGTTAGTCCAGAAAGTTCCACTAGGTGGCGCCAGAGATAAACGTTCAGTAGTTTTTACAGGAACCTGTTGCATCATTGGAAATGAGAACATCTCTGATTATAAACACGCTGCATTAACTTTCTGCTTTTATAGATTTAGTGTAATACATTTTAAATGCTTTGGAAAGTAACAAAGTACACAACAGAATACTGTACATTTGTATTTTTCGACACACCTGTACTTGACTTGTAACTTTCTTTAGTATTTCCATTAGTAATACTTTTACTTCACTGCATCACACAGGGACATAATGTACCTTTTACTCTTATACTGTTTTCTGACATCAAGTTATATGTATACAAATATAATAATATGCTAATACAGTTTGATATATTGCATTACTCAACTACTTATCTACCCAGTAGTATGCAAGAAGTCCAAAATATGTTTAACATTGACGAACTACATCATTTAAATGGTTATAAGCATTCGTTTCTGATAAAACACAATAATATAATAATATAACGGTGTGGAAGGAGCCATTCTGCAAAAGCTTGTGATAAAGTACATTTTTATTTCAGTATTAACTATTTTAAGATAATATTATTTCTAATTTTGCTCAAGTTGAGGATCCGGGTACTTCTTCTAACGCTGGTCAGAGAGGAGAACGTTGTATTAGCAGCTGAATAATAATAAAAACTCTTCTGCTTCACACAGCACAGAGTTCAGTGGGAAGACATTTTGTTAAGATATGTGTTTCCTCTGCCCTTCTTTAGGACGGACGCGTGTTCATCTGGTCGTGTGACGACCCGGCTGGAAACACCTGGACGGCTAAACTCCTCCACAAGTTCAACGATGTGGTTTGGCACGTCAGCTGGTCCATCACCGGAAACATCCTGGCTGTTTCAGGAGGAGACAACAAGGTACAATATACA